AAGGAAGAGGAGGAGGAGGTGAAGGAGGATGATGATGATGATGATGAGGAGGAGGAGGAGGGATGGAGGGATGGAGGATTGATGGAGGAGGGTTGAAAGAGAGGATGGGGAATGAGAGTGGGGAGGTGGGAGGAGAGCATGGAGGGATGGAGGTAGGAGAGATGAGCTGGAGGAGGAGGGAGGGAGGACACCGGTGGGTCACACAACAGCCTTGAAGGTGGCGCATCGTGCTCTAAAACATCGCGCTTTCGCTTGGGACGTCGCCACACATTAAGAAGGTATTGCGCTCTCGACACCCAGGAGTCGGAACCTCGCCAAGGACCTCCCCATAATCTACTGAAGACTCGTGCTGTCGCCCGACGCGTCCTTGCAATTGACTCAAGAGCGGCGCCGTCGCCATTTAGGAATTGGGTTCTGCGCTTAAGATCTCTCTTTCTTCGTAATATACTCAGGAATCGCGCGCGTCCCACCCGCCCGCTTTAATGTCCCGCCCGCCTTGCCCGCCCTCCCGTTCGGGATTGCCTGCTCGCTTGCTCGGCGGCCAGCCTGCCTGCCTCGATGACCCGCTTGCCTGGCCCGCCAATGAGGGTCCGCCCGGCCCGCCCGCGCGCCCGCCCGGGTCCAACCGCCTGAAACCCGTCCGCCCGCCCGCCCGTGAGTGGGCGATCCGACCCGACCCCCCGTCTGGGTTTACAAGTCTGCTCGCCTGCGTGAGTTCACCCGCCCCCGCAAAGGATCCCCGTAAAGGATGATCTTGAATCTAGAATGGTGGGAATCGGGGGTTCGGGGTATATTGAACGGCACGCGAAGAAATTCAGAACGAACAAATTCAGAACGAACAATCTTAATCCGATAGTAGCTGATGGTGGCGATGATGAGGATGATGGGAGAAGGACGACGAGGAGGTGAATCAACCAGAATGGAGGGGGAGGAGGGCGGGGCTATGCAGAGGAGGAGGCCCTTAGTAAACCCAAGATGTACCAACAACGATGCTGCAATGCACTCCCGTCCCCAATCTCCTCTTCTCTTTCACTGCGCGAAGCGCTCCCTTCAGAGACGAGCGCCCCATAGGCCTGCAATTGAGGCTTGAACGCTGTTTTCAAGGGGACCACGCTCCATCCTTCGAGCCCTAAGTGATGCGGCAAAGTGGGGCTGTGAAACTCCAAGAGGTGGCCAAGGACAATGCCACTCTGAACAAGAATCGCCCCGCATCCGCACACCTGTTGCATAGTTTGGAAATTCTGGTCACCGCATGAAGCGAAATCTCAAGCGAGATCCCAATTTTGAAAAAAGGAGCCGTCGTGCATCCGCGTAACTGTTTGAGCTTGTGGGGAGTCTCAGGCGAGAGCCCCATTTTGAAAACGTGCAACCATCCATTCATGTAACTCATGGAAGCATTTGAAGCGAATGTGCGCGGTGCTGAGGCGGGAACCACATTTTGAAAACGACTGGTCCTCCATCCGTTTGGCTATGAAGATGATTGAAGCAACTCTGTGCGGCGCCGGGGCGAAAACATCATTTTGAAAACGACCAGCCCTCCATCCGTGTAACTGTTGGAGCCAGAAGGCTTTGGGAGACTACGTTGTGAGGAAGTGTCAAGCGACCCCCTGGCCTGGCCCACGGACACTTCTGGTGGCTCGACAAGGCTGAATTATTTACAACGAAAAAATATGGAGGAGCATGCGGAGAGAGGGCTGGCAAGAACCAGTGGCGCACGGGCGACCGCCTGCTGGATCGCCTTCCCACTGCCGTCGACAAAATGAATCTCAAACTGTGTCGTGCGGTTCCCTTCGATGTGGTGTCCTGTGCTCGCGTGACATTGTGCGCAAAGTATCTGTCTGCGCCGCCTCTCCAGTGAATGTCGGTCATCGTGGAACTTCCCAGTCGCACCCGCCCAGACCGCGTTCCACTTTGCTTCGACGTTGAAGGGGGCGACATTGCATGGGTGAAATGGGACGACACTGAAGTGGCGCATCACCACTTTCGAGGTTCCTTTTGTCAAGGGCTGTACCCTATCCTTCGACGACCAGCTTTGTCGCGACGTGCTCCCCTCCCTGAGGATCTCGACCCGCTCCCTGGGACGCCTTTTCGCCCCGAGCCGTTTTGTCTGTTCCTTTTTTTGTTTGTTTGATTTTTTTGTTCTCAATTATTTGTTCTTTTTTGGGTTTCCTTAGTTTTTTGCGCTGATTGTTTTTTGCTCGTCGACGGCCCTCGGCATCCCGAGCGGAGCGGGCCTCCGGAGGCCCAGACCGAGAACACCGACTGGCCACCGTGCTGCTGCCGCGACGCCCGATCCGATGGTACCGCGGGAGCATCGGAAAGACGACTGCGACGGTTACAGGGGGGGCGACCAATGACATGAACATAAAAACTCGGAGGTCCGAGCGGATTTCTCGGATCGGCGCTGGACCCCCTTCCCTGGCGCGCGGAGCGCGCCAGGGGCGGCGCCAGAGGCGCCGCCAGCGCCGATCCGAGAAATCCGCGCGGACCTCGGGTTTTTTCTGTTTATAACATTGTTCGTTCCCCTAGATCAGACGCTCGCTCATCAACTGCCTCCGAAGCCAAAACCACTCGACACCAAATCGGGCATTCGATTCGGACCGGGATGTGAATCGACTCGGGCCGCATCGGCGCGGAGCCGGAGTCGGATCGGCCGCGCCAAGGCACATAACAACGTCTTGCGAACATCGGGTCGCATCGGATCGCCGGGAAGTCGAAATCAAATCGGGTCGAGCTGGCTAGAGTCGATATCGAACCTGGTCGATCGGGTCGAAATGAGCCCTGGAGGTCCTCCGGCTCGGCCAACTCTACGGCACGCCTCTTGCCCAGCAGCGCGCGGAAGCCGAAATACTTGAAGAGCTGCATGTACCGGGTCATGACGAAACCTGCCGGACACATCGGGGGGGCGTGGTCACGGGGGGGGCGAGGAACGAGGAGGACTCTTCTCCTCCTCCTCCTCCTCCTCCTCCTCCTCCTCCTCCTCCTCCTCCCCCTCCTCGATGATCTAGCCTCGCGCATCGCGCCCCGCGATGTGCGACGCGCGGGGCCTCCTCGGAGAAGGGCGGCTCTCCGGTCCAGGCTGCGACGCGCGCAGTTCGTGTGTTTTCGCGCCCCTGGGGGTTGCCCAGCTCCGCGTCTCAAGCCATCCGATGCCTTGTCGCTGTCAGTACGGGATCTCCGGACACCCAGAGGGTGCTCGGGATACCGGGGGGGAGTCGGGATCTTGAAGGATGCTCGGGGTTTCCAGAAAGGGCCTGGGCACCGCGGTGTGCAGGGCTGTTCTGTGTACGCGAGGCGGGAGCCCCGGGATACTCGGGGATGGTTGGAACCTGGGTGCCGCGGCATGTGGAGCGGGCGGATGGGTTGGGAGCTGTTGTTCTGCAAAATCCAACAATCCCAGCTAATCGGGCGGGGAACACTGTAATGCAACGCAAATCAGTTTAACTAAACGTAATAGTGTACCACAGAGCAAGCAATCAACGCAACACAACACAAAATAGCGCAACGGACAAAGAACACTGCAGCGAAATGTCCTGCGCTGCGAACAACTCAAAGCAACATGCTGCAACGACGCACCATGCTTTGTCGCACTTTGTTCACTTTGTGCCAGGCTTCGTGCTCAGCTTTGCTTTGTGACTGGGGTCGCGATAGGTTAAACAGCTCCGAATATTTGGGTTCTTGACTTCCACATGGGAACAACATCCCAAAGCAAAGCGGGTGCCCCCCCTCCCCCTCCCCCAAGACACCCTCTCTGTCTCCCCCCGCCACCGCCCCGGACTCCCCCAGACAGCGCGATGACAGATAAGGCGGCGCAACGGGATACGGTCGGGAACTTTTGCTTCGCGTATGGCGTCGGTGGCCCTGGCGACACGCTGTGCCCCGCAAGCTGACAGCGTGTCGCTCGGCTCCGCGCGGCGGGAGGCTGGGGAAGTCTCGGATACCTTGGCGATGAGGGACCCCGAAGCAGTCAGCGGGTCGCGCCGAAGCGCGGTGAGCCAGAACCGGCGGTGCGACACGCTAAGCAAACTTTCCTGACCGTAAGGATGCGGGACTCTCACTTGATACCTCTCGAATTCGCAAGTCCAGAAGCATCCAGTGGTGCAGCAATCGCACGGCTCGAGGGCGCTTCTGCTTCAACGTCGGGCTCTCGCTGGATATGACCTGTGACGTCATGATCCTACGCCGTGGCACTGGCTACAACTGGACAAGTGGAGGGCGAGTCCTTTTCAGACTGGGGCTCCCGATTGAACGGCGAGCCCGTGGGGCTCTCTTCTTTCAGTGGGTGGCTTCCGGTGGCGAACGGAGAAGACTTGGACGCTCTTGCGATGGGTGGGTTTGGGACGGGAGGGTGTGCCGCAGCATCGCCAATGCACCCAGGGTTTACTCTGGTCCTCCGCCTCCTCCTCCTCCCCCTCCTGCTCCTGCTCCTCCTCCTCCTCCTCCTCCTCCGCCTCCTCCTCCTCCTCCTCCTGCTCCTGCTCCTCCTCCGTCTCCTCACTCTCCCCGCCTCGCGGGGTAAGGGTGGGTGAGTGGGGGGAACTGGGGAGGAGGGAGGGAGGGGAAGGGGGGAGGAAGAGAGAGGGCAAGCTGGGCCCCCCCTCGTCGCCACGGCTGGACGTGGCTCGGGCGTCGGGTCAGGCTGACGCCCAGGAGGGATCTGGGGACCAGTTCTGGGCGAATACTGGTGTGGGGGAGGGGGGCAGACGAGGAGGACAACGATGATGATGAGGTCAATGAGGAATCTGCTGATGCTGATGCTGATGCTGCTGAGGAGGAGGAGGAGGAGGAGGGGGAGGAGGAGGAGGAAGAGGAGGAAGATGGAAGAGGAGGAGCACGAGGAGGAGGAGGTCGAGGAGGAATAGAGAGGAGGGAGAGGCGGTGGACAAGACAGAGAATGAGGGATGTGGCGAGGACCTTCCCGCCCCCCTGCCTTCCCATAAGACGAGGGCAGGATAGTCATCGTGTGCTACTATGGGGAACGCAGAGTGAGGAACGAAGGAGCTTTTCGGACCACTGCGAGCCACGGCCAGGAATAAGCTCCCCGGCCTAGACCAAAAAAGCGGCCCGAAAACCATGACCCAAAGCGGTACAAATGTTGGTTGTCCAGCACCACGAATGAATTCGACACACACCGGCACAAACAAACATCTGCGGCGTAAAACGGGCTGGCTGGGGAAGGGACCGAAAACTCTGGAGCACACGCCGTGAACAACACACACGCACACCCACAAACTTTTCCTCCGACGCGCCAGTGAGTTCCAACTAGCGGAAATATCAAGCATGGGCAGTGGCAAGACAATTGTCCACCCTTGTGGAAGCGTGGCAACAAACAAAAAACAGGACACACACACGGACACAACGCCGAAGGTCTGGGGAGGAGGGTTGGAGATGAGCAACATAGGAACGACAGCTCAAGGAACTCCGGCACCTGGCGACACGAGAGGTTGTACGGGGTTTCGCGGCTTCCCTGGAGCGCTCTGGAACGCTTGCAGAACATCTGAAACGAATTATTTGCATCCTTAGGCTGCCTGATCCACTCCCTTCCCCTTATCTGCCCACACCTCCCGGCTCCCTTCGCAACCATGCTTAGGCTGGAGAGACTCCAAAATCTGAGACCTCGGAGCGCCGAGTCGAACGAAAGGGAGCCAGGCGAAACTCCATGCAGCTCCACTCCTTCTGCATCATGGAGGCGAAGAAGGAATAATAGTAGTAATAATAATAATAATATTAGTAATAATAATAATGTTATTATTATTATTCATAATAACAAGAAGAGGGCTGTTCATAATAATGAGAATAAGAGCAATACTTATAATACTAAGACGACGGATACTACTAACAATAATGCTAAGACGTGATAATAAGAAAAAGAGCGGGTCATGACATCTGGTAGATTTCATAAAAAAGCTGGATCACACAAACATGACTGGATTCACATGTAGGGCATCTGGAGGCCACGCGCTGGATGCACATGCGGAAGCCTTGCGTGCCCAGCCATAAGGAGAGGCCGAGCGCCGGAAAAACACCCGGCCACGTGTGCATCTCGCTGCCAGCTATCGCCCATGCCGGCTGTGTCGTGTGCACCCAGCTTCCTGATAGCCCTCACCCCCCTCATTTCTCGGCTACACGCAAGAGTGACCCTAGTCCGCCGACCCCTTGTGGGTCTCTAGGCGTGTGAGATTGTTCCCCCCCCATAAGCCCCCCGCGGAACCCCAAACCGGCAATTCGACCCCCCCTCCCTCGTCCGGCTCGACCCACCCTTGAACTCACCAGGGGGGGGGCCGGGCTCCCCAGGCTCGTTCTGTAGCTCCAAGACAGCCCGTCGAGGCCCCCAAGACACCCCCAAGACGGTCCAAGAGAGTACAAAGTCTCCGAATGATCGCTTCAACACTCCCAAGATGGGCCCAAGACGGCCTAAGAAGCCGCCAGGACACCCAAGACGCCTCCAGGAGGCCTCTCAGGAAGCCCCCAAGACGCCCAAATCGTAAATTTCCATGGGGGAAACGTGCAGTTTTAACGTATGCGACTTTTCGGCCTTCACGGCATTGACGACAGTCCAAGAGGCCCCCAAGACCGCCCCAAGACGGCCCAAGAGGCTCCCAAGGGGCCTCCAAGACAGCCCAAAAGGGTTCCGAGACGGCCCAAAACGTCGCCAAGACGGCACAAGAGTGCCCCAAAACGGTTCAAACAGGGGCCCAAGAGGGGGACCTCGAACCCATAATGCCAACTTTCCGTCCGAAGAGGCTCCCAGGAACTCCACAGATGCCCCCAGATAGGCCCCCAAAGGCCCCCAACAGGCACCCCAAAACCCCAGGAGGCCCCAAAGAGGACCAAAAGAGACCCCAAAACGGCCCTCAACAGCCTTCGAAACTGCCTCCAAGGAGCCCACGAGAAGCGTCCCCACGAGATCCCAACGGACATCCCAGACGCTTCATACCCACAACCCAAGCACGGTGGCGGGGTGGGCCGAAGGCAGCTAGATCCGCCGCCCCCGGTCGATTCATCGCAGGGGTGCCTGGCGTGCTGAACCCTTTCGGTTTTGGTTTTGGTTCTTTTCCAAAAGAACTCCCCCTGGGGCTTCGGCCCGTCCCGCCAGGGGCCCGGGAAGGATTTCAAAACCTGGTAGCAAAAGTTTTCCCTGCTCCAGACGGCTCCAAGATGGTCTCCAATATGCATCCAAGACGGCCAACATGGCTTCCAAGACGGCTCCAAGATGCCTCCAAGACGAGCCAAGATGCACTCAACACGGCCTAAGATAGCCTCAACATGGCACCAGACGGCCCAAGAGGCCTCCAATAGGCCCAAGAGGCCTCCAAGAGGTCCTCCAGGAGGGCCCGAAGAGGCCCAAATCATTGATTTTTTTAGGTGTTTGCAAGATTTTGGCATTTGCTTCTTCTCGACCCAAGAGGCCTCCAAGATCGCCCAAGAGGCCCCCAAGAGGGCCCCATGACGGCCCAAGTGGCGTCCAAGGCGGCCCCAAGAGGACCCCAAGACGGCCCAAGAGACCTCCAACACGCCCAAGGTGGCCTCCAAGACGCCCAAGATAGCCTCCCAAACGGCCCCGAAGCGCCCCAAGAGGGCCCCAAATCGGCCCCCAAAAAACCCCAAAACTGTTCCCGACGGCGTCAGACGTGCCAGGAACCCACCAAGATGGCCGAAGTTGGCTCGAAGCTGGCCCAAGACGGCCCGAGAGGCCCCCAAGAGGGCCTCCAGGAAGGCCAGAAGAGGCCTAAAACATTGATTTACCAGAGGTTTTTGAAGGACTTTGACATTTGATTTGTTTCGGCCTTCCGACGGCCCGAGACGGCCCAAGAGCCCCCGAAGATCGCCGAAATATCGCCCAAGAGGCCTCCAAGATGGCCTCAGAACGGCCCAAGAGGGCCCCAAAACGGCCCCAAGAAACCCTCAAGACGGCACAGGAGGCCTTCAAGACGCCCAAGATGGCCTCCAAGACGGCCCTGGAGCATTCCAAGAGGGCCCCACGTCGGCCCATAGAGGCCCCTCAAACGGCTTCCGGCGGCGTCAGACGGACCAGGAACCCACCAAGATGGCAAACATTTGCTCGAAGCTGGCCCAAGACGGCCCAAGAGGCCTCCAAGAGGGCCTCCACGAAGGCACAAAAAAAGGCCACAATCATTGATTTTTGATTGGTTTTTGAAGGATTGTGGCATTTACCTTTTTTTCTGCCTTCCGATGGCCCGAGACGGCCCAAGTGCCCCCCAAAATCGCCCGAGAGGCCCCCAACACGGCCCTAAGAGGCCCCCAAGACGGCCCAAGAGGTCTCCAAGACGCTCAGGATGGCCTCCAAGACGGCCCAAAACCCCCCCAAAACATCCTCCAAGAAGGCCCGAAAGGGTCAAAATGGCCTCCAGACGACCAAGATGACCTTCAAGATGCCCACGTGTTCCCCGAAGGCTTTCCGAACCGATTCGGGGAACACACGGTCCGATAGCTTGGCATGTCTGGCCTCAACGTTCGGTCACAAAGGCGCTTCCAAAAAGGCAGGGGGCGGCGGTGATTCGCCGTAGGCGTCTTCGATAACGCACGGAGTCCAGCTGTGGCGACGGTGCCGCCCCAAGACGCCCGATCCATCGCCTTTATTTACATGTCTCTCCCCTGGCCCCCAAATCGTAACGTCGTCCAACTCCCCTCAGAAAACGTACACTTTTAGCATATGCGACTCATGTCCCTCCCCTGGCCCCCAAACCGAACCATCGTCCGACTCCCTACCTCCTCCTCCTCCTCCTCCTCCTCCTCCTCCTCCTCCATCTCCCACTCCATCTCCCTTTGTATCACCCCTTTCTCTCCCAATTCACCCGTGCCGGCCCCAAGCATTCGCGCGCTGCCACGAACGCTGCCACGGGTCTCACGCGCAGGCCTTGCACTTCAGCGTGCGGTTATGGTTAGAACGCGCGAAGTGCGGTCCAACCACGAACTGAGATTTTGGGAGTTTCCTCTTGCAGGCGCCGAAGCACTCGTACGCTTGCCAATTCCGTGCCGTGAACCCGAGGCCCACGCAATCCGCGCAAACAACTTTGCTCTTCCTCGTGAAGTGATCACTCTCTTGCCGGTCGCTGATGTGGTCCTGCCGAAGGAACTCTTTCTCGCGCGCCCTGCACTTCAGCTGTCGCTTCAACCGTTTCGACTCATCGGCCACACCTTTCGCGGTGATGCCCCGCTAATCACAGCTTCCGCACATCCAAAAGCACCATCAAAGCCTTGAACTCAGGTAAGAGGTGGCGCCCCGAACGCTCCCAACCGCCAGGGTAGTAAAAACAAGGGGTCGGCGGATGTGGCGTAAGCCTCTAGAATCAAAAATGACCTTTTGTGCGCGGGCCAAAAGGTTGCAGTGTGGCCAAATCCAGGCGCGCAAGCAGCCGCTATCGCATCGCGCTCAGCGATCGGGGGGATCCCGATAAACCCGCACCAAAAGGGTTACTCCGGCGAAGGGTCAATCCTACGTGCAGTGATCTTCGACGCCGCCGGCTCCCCCCCCGGCAAGCGGAGCACCGTGGGTGGCCCACTGCATGACGATGAAATTGAGGTAGAAATGCGTGGCCCCGGGCAGGTGATCGGCCAGCAGCCCGAAGGTGTCCATGGGCTTGTCCACGATCTCCTGTGCCCGGCCACGGCCGGCTCCCGCCGTGACGACTTTTGCGCTGGCCTCTGATCGGGGAAGCGGAAGACTCGGGTCGGGGGACTCGGGCTGGCCTGACGGGCCGTCAGGGACATGACGAGATCCAGCCTGAAATTTGTCGCGACCTCCACGACAACTGGACCGCCAAAATCCAAGACGGGCTCGTCAAAAAAGCGTCGGAAAACCCCAATGCCGGCGAACTCGAGTAATACTGAGCGTTTTTTTCGGCGTTTTGACATTGAGCGGAAGGGTGGGGGGAGGGAGGGGGTCTGGCTCTGGACCTCTGACTGCTTGGAACCGTGCGTCCTATGGGGGAGACTCCACCTGCTCGAAACAGGCGCCGAAAACAGCCAAGATCTACTCCGGGGAGGGGGGGGGAGATGGGGGGGTGGGAGGGCCCGCGCCGCTCGGCAAAACAAAAAATAAGAAAACGATCACTTACCTTTCTCCGATCTGACTCCGCGCCTCGAACGATCGCGGCGTTCAGGCAGCGCTGAGCCCGAGCCACTGGCGCCGTTCGCGGGCGACTTTGGCGTTGGTCTCTGACACCGTGCGGATCGTTCGACCTCGAACGATCGCGGCGTTCAGGCAGCGTTGATCGCTCAATATCGGCCCATGCCAGGTCACGGACGCCGTTCACCGACGACTTTGACGTCAGTTTCTGACGCCACGTGGATCGTTCGGCCTTGAACAATCCACGCGGTGTCAGAAACCAACATGAAGCATCCAGCGTCATGGGAAGATCATGGCGAATGTTCTGGTCAAAGTTCGGGCATGTTCTGCCAGGAAAAGTGGGATTAGCTTGTCATGGCCCGAGGCGTGTGTGCGGATGAGGGGGGGGGCATGAGACGTGTTGACAGGAGAAGAGGGGGCCCTGACATCAACATGCTCCTAGCCCTCTCCCCCCTTTCGGATGCCTCCGAAAGAAGGTCACCGCGCTCAGTTTTACCCAAGCTCGAGAACCTGGAGGCACCCACACCGCCCCAGTCGTCTCCGCCTCCCTCTGGGACGCCCCTGAGAGAAGGCCATGGTGCCTGGGCACCTGGAGGCATCCACTCCCCCCAGTCGTTCCCACCTCCCTCTGGGACGCCCCGAGAGGAGAGCACAGTGGCCGCTGTTGCGGGCCCAGTGGCCGATCAAAAAAGCCAGAGACGGCCCAAGGCACCAAATAAATGTGTCCCCGGGAAGGGGTCGACCGCTCCGAGGCCCGCGCCGTGAAACGATCGCGGGGTCGGAGGTCTGGGGAAGGGACGCCCCCCAAGGCGCTCGCCTCCCCCAACTCGTCTTTCTCTCGGCGCGCAGCTAAACTCCAATCTAGGACAACCTCTCATGGCGCGATGTTTTGCACGAAGGCCGTCCAAAACTTCTGGATTGCCGTGGCACAACTTTCTGATGTAATAAGTTTCGCAATGGAATGGTCTTAGCCAGCGTGGATCCCAAACAATGTGTTCTTGCATTCTCTGCGATGTGATATATGCGATGCAGCCTACGCAATTCAATCTATGCAATGCTTGCCCTCCTCCCCCTCCCCTCCCCCTCCTCTCTCCCCCTCCTCCTCTTCCTCCTCCTCCTCCTCCCTCCACCGTCCACCCCATGTCCCGAGCCTGTGGAAGGGGCATCAGCTTGTCGTTGTCGTTGTCGTCGTGGTCGTCGTCGTCTTTCTGGGTTGGCGGCACCGGCCGTAAGGCCTTCACAATAATGTCACCTCGTGCCAGGCCCAAGCCGAAAGCTCTTGATTCCTGAGGCGTGTTAACTTTTCATTTTTACGGCTCAAGCCGTTTCAGGCGATGGTGATGACGATGCGGAAGATTCGGGCGACGATCATGACGATGATTATGATGATCATGAGGATTACGATGATGAGGAGACATACGAGGGGAGTATAGTGATGAGTTGGGAGCACGTGTGCGTCTGTGTGTGTGTGTGTGTGTGTGCGTTCGAGCGCCTGACCCGTCCCTGGGGGTTACCCTGCACATGGGCGAGCCCCCCTGCCCTCGAGGGGCCACTCTGCACTTGAAGGGCACTTCGGCCTGCCCTTCCCCTGGGGCGGCGGCCCCCCCACCCCCCCCTTGTGCGGCACACGCCTGTCCCTGTCCGCGTAGCAGCTGGCACAGCTTCCGGGGGCCGCCGCCGGCTGTTCCACTGCCAAACACAGTCCGTGCAACCCGGCGCGCTTCTCCTCTGCACGGCGGGGCTCCTGCTTCCCCGGCGCATGGAGTTACCGGCTGCGCTGCGGCTCGGTCGGCCTCCCTAGGCAGTCCTGGGGCTCGAGCCGCCCCCTGTGGTGGCGCCCCCAGCCTGTGTCCTGGTTGCCTCCCACGCTGTCCGTCTTCGTCCCTTCATCCCCGCTGCGTTGCTGCTGGTCCTGGCCCGAGGCCGCTGACGGCCGTCTCATCGCTGCACCACGCCTGTGCATCATGGTGCTGCCTCTCCTCGGCTCTGCGGAGCACGCGTTCCGCGGCCCATCGTGGAGTCACCGGCCGTGCTAAACTGCTATTGCTTGGTCGGGCAGGCGCTACCTCTGGCCTAATGGTCTGCCCGTCTCTCCACCCGCGCCACGTCGGGCTCCAGCTCCAAGGTCGCCGCCGGACCCTTTTGCCCTGCCGTGCCCCTGCTGCCTGGCGTGTCCTTGTCTCTGTCATCGGGGCGCTCCTTCTGGCCCAGCGCGGGGTCGCTGACCCTGCTTCTGCTTGATCAGCTCTCTACGGTAGCCCTGGGTACCTCCTCGGCCTTGGCATGGGCGGCCTCCCTTCAGCTTTTGCTCTGTGCGCCGCCTGGTGGGCCGTCCTTCCCCTCTCTGTCCCGCCGTTGTGCGTCGCGCTCTATCTCTCTCTCTGCTCGTCCCTCGGGCTGTCGTCCAGGGGGTCGTGCTCCGTCCTCGGTCGTTGGGTCATTGCCGTCGCTCCTCCCTCCCTCCTCTTGGCTACACGCAAGACCCTGGGCAAGAGTGACCTTAGGTGCGCGGGTTTTTTGAGGGCCGCGGGGGGACCAATCACCATCGCGCAATACGCTACAATCGAACCGCGCTCGACGATCGGGGGGCCTTGTGGGCGCGCACCAGAGGTCACTCCGGCGAAGGGCCACTCCTGCGTGTACTGGACGGGCTCGCCCCGGTCTCGGGTTCGCATCCCGGTCTCGGGTTCGCATCCCGGTCTCGGTCTCGCCCTCCTCTCCCAATCTCGGGCTGCTGGAGGAGAAGAGGGAGGAGGCGAGGCGAGGCGAGGCGCGCTTGAGTCCGCCAGGGGGCGGGGCCTGAAAGGCCGGCGCGGGCGGGCCTGGGCCCTCAGTTGCAGAAGTGAAACTTGTGGTCAATGCTGTGTGTGGCGTCGGAACGCTTGTTCAAAATTGTTCCATTGAGTGTTGTCTTGTGCTATCGTAAACCATCGTCCGCTGCCAGGTTGGAGAAGTTAGCTGTCAGAAATAGTGTGATATCGTATTCCCGCCGTTTCCGCTGACCCCCATGTCTGCGGACTGCTTGCCGGTGGTCGTGGATGTCCAGCTCCCACGTCGCAGCAAGTCGGGCCCATCTACTGTACGATTGATGTGCGACTCGCCCTGCCCACCGCCATTTTCGACGAAAGTGCACCGTCGCCCATTTATCTACGCGTGCCCTTTGTGCAAGATCTGCTGCTGTGTGCGTAGCTCTGCGGATAAAACCTTCCCAGGGTTCGAGGTCGGAGTCGTCGTCGCCACCCTCGGTTTTAAATTCAATGTCGTCGACATTGTCGTCCAAGCTTGTCTTGGCTTCGCTTCCAACGTCTACGTGCGCCCCTGCTTCGGTGCTGTCAATGTTGTCGATAGCGGTGCTATTACGGGCTGCTTGACGTCGTGGGGTGTGTACGATGAGTCGCAGCATCCGTCGTTGAGTGCGCGTCAGCGTTTGAAGCATGTCCGTGGTCATCGTCCAGGATACGCAGCCGTACATGACAGCAGGCGTCACTGTTCCGTTGAAAAGGCAGAGCCTGCTGTGTAGTGGGCACCGTTTGCTGGTGAGCTCGTCGCGGAGCTGGTTGAACTGGCGCCATCCTGTCGCAACTCTGTTGGTAAGCTCAGTTTGGTGGTAATCGTTGTCGTGAAACGTGAGGTGGCGGCCGAAGTATTTGGTTGCCTTGTCTTTGCTGAGAATCTCAATGTCGTCGCCGTCAATGCTGGTGTGTGTGATGGTCCACCCTTGGCGTCTGGTGAGGCTGCTAAGGATTTTGTTTGTGTCCGGGGGTAGTGCAAGCCCGCACTTCCCGGCTTCTCTCTTGAGGTCAGCAAGAATGACTTTTAATTGTAAGAATGACTTTTAATTGTCGTAAGTTCGGTGCATTGAGAAGTACGTCGTCTGCAAACCGTAAATTGGTGAGTCGCGTAGACCTGGCGTGTTCCAGTTTAGTGCCAAAACCTCTGCGTTCCCAGGAAGGCTTGATCTGCCGGAAAATGTGCTCGAGCATCGCGTTGAAGAGGTAGGAGCTAAGCGGGTCACCTTGTTTGACCCCGCGTTGAATGCTGAATTCCCTGCTGTTGACATCGGTCTTAACCGTGGCGGTCTGGTCAATGTAGAAGCTCTGCAATAAGGAAATGTAAGAGTCTGGAACGTTTTGCTGTCGAAGTGCGTTCCAAAGGTGTTGGTGGTCGACGCAGTCAAACGCCTCTTTAAAGTCGATTGCAGCGGCCCAGAAGAGGAGTTGCCACTCATATGACTGCTCGTACAGTAAAATCGCGATGAAGAGGTTGTCTTCTGTGCAAAACCTTTTGCGGAATACAGCTTGGTCAGGTGATTGTTCACACTCGAAGTTCGCCTCTAGTCGATTACATATTATTCGAGACATCAATTTGTAGAGTACTGGGATAATGGCTATTGGTCTGTAGTTTTGGGGTAGTTGCGGATCGCCAGACTTGTAGATGACACTAATTGTTGTGCGTCTCCATTGCTCAGGGGGTTCTCGCCCAGGTGTTATAATGTCGTTGAATAGCTTCAACAAGTGCGATTCGAT